CGTGGTTGCTGAATCTACCAGAAAGACAACATTTTTGGCATGACGCTCAGAAAGCCCCTTTCTGGTTTGCTGAAAGTGGGTTGACTTCAATGGACTGGTCGAGCCAGTTTACAGACCTAAATCCAATCGAGCTTCAATGTGGGAAGCTCGGAAGTGTTGTGGAAAAGGCCCGATTGCCAGGAATGCGAGTAAAGAGCTAGCATAGCTCGAGCAGACGTCAAGTTTATCCCAACCTCACCGTTCGCCAAGCCCTTCTCCTCCACTCCTCGTAAGTATCTTGCCGTAGCTCGCGGGAAAGGCATAGCGGCAAAGTTTTAGGTTGTACTACATGTTTTTTTTTTGTGTGGCTTTAAGGCTCGTTTCACCTTTCGAGGTTCAGGGTTGTTGGTTCTTGTAGTTTCTCGAAAATTCCATTTTTGCTTATCTCATTTATTTTGCTTCTCAAAAGCTGTCATACTTTTGTACTTTAATCATGCATGGTTTTGAAGACTTCTCACTCTTTTATATATTTCAGCAACGCATGCAAAAAAAAAACATGATTGGAGTAAACTTTTGATCGATAGAGTCCGCATGGTTGGTGCAGTGTGAGAGAGTTAGCGTTGTAGGTGTGTAAGTGCCGTGTGCAACTGATCGTTGCACGTGCCAGTACAAACAATCTTTTGAGTTGGAACTGACATTTCTAACACTCGCTTGCATTCGAAAACTTTCGCTTTGCTTCAAATTTATTTCCCTAAGAAAGAATATCATTAGATTTGAATAGCGATGGCTTCGGACTATGAATTATTCCAGAATTTGGAACAGTAGTGGAGTACTACTGTTGTTATTTACTAGATGTGTCTATCTTCTCTTACGTTTCCCTTCCATAGGGAGTACTGGTTCTAGTAATATCCATTCATTTATTTCACCACTATTTCTTTCTTATGGTGCATCCAATAGCAGAAGATCTAGAGCTTTTTGCTAATTAACCCTTTTTTTTACAATATTTGGGCACAACACGGAATTAGCTGGAGCAGATTGTTTTACTAGCATAATATGTATATCGATCTCGCTATCGTGCAACATGAAAGCGCGTCCCCTTAGGAAATGAGGAATAGTTGAAATTCAAACCGTATCTAGAAATAGGTACGTATCGAATTTCTTTCTCTCCATCTTCTCGTTTTTCTCCGACGATTCGTGACCTTGATGTGAACCTGATTCTGGTAACCGATCCAACATTGACATGCTGCCACAATTCCTTATTAGAGATTAACATCTAATTGTAAGACCTTACAGTCATTACACTGAATTTGCAAAGTTGCGAAAAGTAGCTAGTGCGTAGAGCACTGGCGAGCCAAATAGAAGCTCTCTGAGGTCGCCGAAATCCGTTGTATTTCCTGGCCTTTTGTGTCTTGCCTCCCTCTTTTTAGTTTCCTAATTTCCAAAAGTGATTGTTGGAAGTGTGCTAGCGAAGGCCTTACACAATTTTCCAGAACTAGAGCTCATCTCCAATTCCTCAGTGGATGCCGCAGATACCCTTGAATAGCTTCCAACTTCCGTTAAAATCTTCAGGTTTCTTAGATATTGTCTCACTGTCGAGCAGAATAACTTGGGAATAGGTTTTGAATCGCTAAGTAATACTTAGTAAAATTGGAACTGCGGGATTATCTGGTTTCGTCACCATTCCTTGATATTTTGCTCTTCTTGTATCCCGACCAAAGCGTCAACGCTATGCCATTGGCTGTGGACAAGCTTACACGAGCCAATCAAACTCCCCACCCCTGCGAGATCGGTAACTTTTGTACCTGCATGCAGATTCGGGCTCGTGTGCATCGATAGGAGCTTTGATGTGAACATTGGCTGGCCACCGCAAGTCCCTTTTCAGGCTAAGTACGCATTCGCAAGCCTCAGTGATTGTCCTTACAAGTCTCATGAGCGGGTGCCTTGGGATTAAACGAATAAGCCAGGAAAACTCTGCTCGCTAACTCCCTAAGAACGAGAGAATGAAGGAGAAGCGGATTATCACATTCGTAAAAAAGATGTTGTTCTGAAGGATCCATTGCAAAGCTTAATGGCTGCTTGGCGAAATCATGGCTTTAAACAAGGATTTTCAAGGTTCAAAAGGATAATAAAGCGCCAGAGGAGATCCGCCTTTTTCTCACACTCATATTAAGTGTTTGCTTGTGTTCTCAACTAGTAGGTATAGCATTAATTCTGTTTTATTACCTTAATCTTTAATCCTAGGTTCGTATGCATATCCGCTGCTCTGCATGATTACAAACCACCTTGAAGGTTCTTGAAAAATAGCGCAGTATAATATTTTTGAAGAGACTTAGAAGAAAAATGTGTTAAATTCGAGTGGCATTTTCATGATTAACACCTATTCCACATAGTAAACACGTTGAAAGCCAGTTCGCCAATGCTGGAGAATTGTAAAGCCCTCTAAATACCGCAGAAAAGGAGGAAAGATTGTCTGATTGGCAAATTGCGTGAGATTTGGGTCGGAGTCATTATGTTGTCGACATCTTCGACAAGAGCTGTACAAAGTAGTGAACCAATGATGAGAAGCAACCTGGACATCCCTCATTACCATCTAAAAGAGACAAGCGCCGGAAGCAAAGGGCGAAGAATCCAACAAAACCAAGCCTGTCCGCAAAACAAATCTTGTTTGTCGCCCGAACTTCTAGGGGCTGTTTGACGTGTGCTGAAGAAGGTTGAATTTTTTGTCCGATAGAAAAAGAGAAAGCCGCTGTTCATGAAAATGTGCCATCGCGAATATCAAGTCGCTTTGGCCAAATGATTTAGCCGGGCAGAATGGAACAAGGTTGCCTGCAGCGCTTCCTATGCATTCCTTTTGATTAGCAGATTCAACAAAGCTCAAAAGGGCAGAAGGATGACTCTAGGTCAAAAAATTATTGAAAACCCTCCAGGAATGCAGGATAATCGTATTTGTCGAGTTATCCAGAGCAATGGAGATTTAATAGATTGCCGAATGGAAGAAGTCTCCTCTCTGTCTTTTCTTGCGATTTGTTAGTGGCTTTACAACTTTGCAAGATCGGATGCTTTTCTTTTTTCCAAGAAAATAAAGGTAGAAAATTTTGTGTTCTCGAAATAGAATTTGATGTCGATAATGAACCATACCATATAGTACCCATATTTTTCTTCCAAGGCTTACCAGAGACATTCTATGACACGGTTTTTTTATTTGCAAATTTTCAAGAGCTTTCCAGGTGGACTTATGAATATGGCAATGACTGTAGTTTTCAGTGATCAGAGCCGTTTCTAGCCTTGTCTCCTATCACAGAATTCATACTTTGTGTTTTTAATACTGGCGTCTCATTCCCGATTTTGACTTGACTCACTGGAAGCTTTATGACGTCGTGTTAGAAGTCTCATTTAAAAAAACACTTCTAGCGTAAAAATATGTCGAATAGTTGTCTTTGTTGTCAGGTATGGCTCTGGCCGGTCCCACCTCCGTGGAGGTTGGGAGATCACCGTCCAGCTCCTCTGCTAGCTCGATACCAGTGGCTGAAGACAAGTTGAGATTGGTTAGTTTCCAGAACTACTTGTCGTCAATATGACCATTTTGAAAAAAATTTTTACTAATTTCATACAAATACACCCTGATCTTTGTTAAGGTTAGCTTCATTGGTGGAGAAACGATAACCTTCGATTGGAAACCAGATGAACCTCAAAGGAATACTGAACTGGTTTCGATTTTATTTGAGGTCATCGGGTGGGTTGTTCGTTTTGCCCTTGAATTGCATGTTGAATGTATTAAAGTTGTTGATCCACCAAATAAAAAAGTGGGACTGTTCTCCATTGAGTTCTCGCTTTAGTTGGGTGGACGATTTTATTGAGCAGTTCACAGCTAATCACGGAAACACCGTTTTCCGATTCGATTTGGTAGAGCGGAATTTCTGACCTATAAGAACTAATTTATTCAAGCGTGAAGACAAGCCGCATTCGTGCAATTATATTTATTAGCTTTTAGGCTATGTATCAAACGGCTCCCATGCGCTCTTCCAAGTGTATTACATCATTTGGATAATGGATCCGCTACTTTCAACAATGTCGACAAAACTAATCTGGAAGAAGTCAGGGCTGTGATAGAAGATTTCAACAAAGTAGCGGCTCCATATGCTAAACTGGTTGGGAGTGATTATTATCTGGCATTGGCGCAATATTTGTAATAGCTGAATTATCATGAAATTTTGTTGCAGTGGAAAGGACAAACGAATCCTGCCTTCGAATCCTGGAGTCAAGACAGAGCTGACGTTGATTTGCTCACTATTATTTGCACCCTCTCTTTTAGCAGGTGAGAGGAAGCTCGTAGCTTTTTGAGTTATCACTATGTTTTGAGAAAATCACGGAGACTTTGCCAAGTAAACTTATTATAAAGTTCCCTCCTTCCTTGCCTTCTAGTCCACGACCACTTTGTCGATAATCTGGCTGACTGTTCGTTTTTCGTTCAAAAATGTGGGTCTTTCCGTTTCAGAAAGTTCTTTATCACCAACTCTTTCTCTTCTATTCAACACTCTACAATTTGAATTTCCCTTTAATTTTTTTTAAAAGCATACAAGCTCCAAAACTCTGCATCCGAAAGGCTTGTCGTGGAAAATGTTATCATATCCTTCTCCTAGATAAATCCACTTGTACTTCATTGAAGTTTCTCCTTCAAGAAATTCCCTGAAGTTCCTCTTGAGCGTTGGTTATATTTCAGATTGTTTTGGCTTCACTTATTACATAAAAGCCTAGAGAATGCCGTTTTGGGAGGTCTTCTTGCTTTTTTCTCAAAATTGTCGGCAAATGTGAAAGCATTTTGTTTGTTTAATCCTTTATTGCTTCTGAGCACTAAATTCGTGCCGATTACAGAATTTTCTTTATGCTGGATATTACAATTCATGATTTTTGACATTATAATGTATGCCATTTAGTATGAATAGGACTTTGTTTTCTCCAAATTAAAGAATTTGGTTTGCTTCTGTAGTTTTCTGAAGTGAGTCCGATTTATTTCTTTCAGAGCAGTTTCGAATCCTCAGCTGTTGAACAATCATTATGCACCTTTTAGCAGTGGGGTGAGTGATGTACTAAGTGATTGTCCTGAGTGGCTAATTCTGATTTTATTTTGTTTTATTTTATATTATGACTGCCATTAGTTTAGGTTTATGGAGAAACATCGTATGAGCAAATGCAAATGATCATCGACCAGACGGTTTTTCGTGATTCGGACGTTTTTTTGGATCTAGGTTGTGGCGTTGGGCAGCTAGTAATGTATGTTGCTGGAGGGACCAAGGTAACTGAATAGATCGTCGTTATTCGCAGAGCTGTCGGTCCCGCTCTAAGCGTTACCTGAAAATTGTTCAGGTAAAAAAATCTGTTGGGATTGAAATCAACGACCTACCAGCGAAGTATGGAGCGGCAATGAGCGAGGATTTTTCCAAGTAAGTATCTGCTAGTTTCTAGTTGTTTGGCTAATTGAACAGCTTTATTCATTTATTTCTTAAGATGGATGAAATGGTGGAAAAAGAAGTGTCGTCCCTTCCAACTGATACATGGTGATATGCTAGATGAGCAATACAGAAATCTGATTACCCAGGTAAGGTTTTTATATTTCGACACTGCTCTGGATTGAATTTATGTCCGTATTTTCGAATCTCCTATTCTTCTTATCTATAAAAGAGCCGTGAATAACTACTCTTCTTCTCGGAAACTCTGATCTTTGTGTCTGAATAACGACTCTTTGCTCCGGAAACTCATGATCTCTAAGTCACTGATCCAAGCGGCAACTTCCTCTTATCACTGATCGCAGTAATCTCTAATCTTTGCGTACGTATATAAACTTAACGTTCCTGAAATTACGGTTTTTCATCTATCTTATGCTTGATGACTTTTACTTCAACGGGTTTTCAATATGTTCAAAATATTTTTTAAATGATAAACGGAAATATTCCTTTTTCTTATTCTTTGTTTGGCTAAAGAAAATCCTTTGTAAAATCGTGCATTAGTTGAATGCGAGTTACTGAAGTACTGTATTTTTAAATGGATCCCTTATTCCTAGTTTTCATGTGCCAAAATTCCTAGTAGTGAAGATTTGCAAAACCCAGCTGTTGTTCTCGTAACCCTACAATCAAGTGTCAAATCTAAATAAAGTAGTTATTAGTTGAAATTTGATTTGCAGGAAGCAACTATTATTTTCATCAACAACTACGCGTTCGAACCGAGTTTGGATTTGCATATCAAGAATATGCTAGCAGACTGCCATGTAGGCACGCGTATTATTTCAACAAAAGCCTATGCTACTGGCACTAAGCGAGTTAATATGCGAAACCTAGGAGGTCAGTTAACTACGAAGACAGGTTTGCTTGAAAGTGTCTTTAAAAGCTCCTTGAAACATGTTTTAGAGACTTTTAGATGTTGAATCAATAATGGAGGTCACGCAACTCAAGACTGTCAAGCAGCCCACTTCATGGACTCCAAATAATGTCCCATATTACCTTCATACAGTCACGCACAACAAGGTAAGCCTGAGTTTTTATATAAAATCGATTGGAGTGATCACAGCAAAAAAGAAATCGTTGCCTATTCTGTTTTTGTAGAACTCTCACTATTTGGAACATTGAGAGGTACATCTTTCGTCGTGATAATTTCGTACCTTCAAAGAATAAGGGAGGAAATTCTTTGCAGTGGTCCACGTTTCTGGATTTGGCGATTATGCTAGCACTTAAGGCTTCCTTCACAAGCGTTGAAATACATGTCAGTGACAGCGGGGCTAGTCGTCGACCGTAAAGCTAGTGTTCCCTTCTTCTGCGAGGTAATCATCGCTATCAACTTGATATGTTAGGCAAATCGATAGCGATGATTACCTCGGAAGAAATGTTTTCATAGTAATTGAATGAGGTTTGTTTTCCAAACCCATTTCCGTTAGCCTTGCATTATTTTTGCGCCCTCCCCTTCACTTTTTTTTCTAATTTTTATCTTTTTACTTTAAGAAGGGAAGGTCTTTAGGATTGTTAGAAGTTTCATGATGCCCTATGATCGCATCTCTACTTCTCCTTCTGCCATTGATGTGCTCTCTGCTCTGTGCTCCCAGCAAGAACTTTCAATGAACCTTCGTGCTTTTCGTGCGAATTCAATGGTCATATTTTTCTTGCGACAGATTATTGCTTAGAGTCGTTTGCCAACTTATTCATGCAGCCCAATCACGCTATTTTATACCAAGCAAGCGAAAGGGGTGGGTGGTCTTCGGCATTGGCAGCCTAAGAAGCTAAGAACTTTCAAAGTTCCACTTACAACACCTGGTGTGTGAGAAGCAAAAAAGATCGAACGTCGCTCCGGTTTGCGGAATTTCTTGGGAACTAATCGTGTGGTGATGGGAAGAAAGATCAATTCAGTGGCGCACATTAAGCTCACGTCCTCAATTTATGATGGATTTTATACCGTCTGCTCTCCTTTATCGCTGCTTCGTATATGCCCTGGTTGCCAAGGTTTTGACAATACATAATTAGCCGCGACTTGAGATCATTTATTCATTGTCCTCGCTTGCTGTTGGTGTACGACACTTCCGCTACTATTCCGCCTCATTCTCCTTTTTGTTGACCTTTGCCTTTGAACATACTGGCCAGATAAATTGGGGTCATGGTTTCACGAGACATTATATTATAATAGCTCCATCAAGTATTCGTGACCTTGGATAGGAACGAGTGTGTTACGATGGGATTTTTTTGTGTGGTAAAAGGTGAAGTGTTTTATGTTAATCCTGTGGGATGCTTCCACTCTTACTTCCATTTCTGGTCGGATCACAAAGCCGTTTTGTCGTAAAGTCGGTCGGTTCTTGTTTTGGCCGACATATTCTGCTACTATTCTTGGTAACTGTACTAGTCTCCTGATTAAATCTTAGCTTGTTATTGTGAAAATGTTGTTTCGAGCAACGGATGGTCCTTATACCTCAGCAATCTTTCTGAAATGTTTCTAACTGAACCCGTGTGCTTTCATGAAGGTTATCTTTGACCTTTAGAACCGTTACGTTCCACACAAATGGTTATCTGGGTTCCCTCTTCTTGTTTTATTGCAGTGAAGCAGGATGCAGAGAAAGCGATACATTCAACCACCTGTAGTCCGTCACCCTAGCAACCCTGCGCGGGCGCAATCGCGTATAACTTGATCATTTGTTGGCCGATCACCAGCTCAGCGTTGATGCGTAACTTCTCGGCCGGCGGACGGCCATCGATTCTCTTCGGATTGGGCGCGGAGCGGATGCGCCGCGGTCGCAAAATGCGTGAGGAAATCGACCGGCCGTTGCTGCTGCAAGTTCGACCACGTTTCGTACATTATTTGTGGTCCTGTTCCAATTTCAATTCGAAGTAATAAGATGGATATGAATGTCTCAGTAATTGATGCTGTTAATGGGGGTTTGCTGCTCACTTATGGTGATGCTCCGATGATGAGCTGTGCTCATTTACCCGAGAGAGCTACAGTATCGCGTAGGTTTGCCGTTTCTTTGAGAAGAGCAAAGCTGTTTTAGGTTAAGTTTGTGTTATGTTTTCCGAGCTTAACCAGTTATACGCGCATGGGATCCTCGTATCTATCACAAAACGGCTTGGACCCTTATCCCGCGAGGGCATCTTATAACTTTTTTCATCGTTTGCAAAAAAAGGCTCTTTCCTTCGCAACTCTTGGTAGGCGCAGAGGAATACAGCTCTTATACGAAAAGATCAGAAACGCAGAACATTTCTGGTGATGGACGGGTGAATTAGTTCGCTTGCTATACATCCAAGAAATTCTGCATCGTATGTGTATTCTTACAATCTGATAAAAAGAGTGGCGTAATTTCAAATGGTATCACATGATTCATGTGTGATCGCACAGTTTGATTGTGCGGTCTGCTTTGCTACCGTTAAGCGCCCTTGAAGTGCTTCTCTTCCACCTCCTCTAACAGCTCACTCTCATATTACACAAGTCTCCCGATTGAGGCGAAGTCTGATGTTGGTTAACTGAGCACTGGACTGTCAAGCTCAATCGAAATAGTTCACCTCACATATGTGTTCACTTTCTTTATAAAGCTACCTTTTTTTGTGAACCAACCCATTACTCTTCATGCTCGAAGGGAGTATGGCTTTTTTGAATTCACTTTTTTTTCAGATGATGAACTTTTTCACGCAAAGAAAAAACGGTGGCGAACTTTCTCGGTCCGTTTCTTCCTCTAGCAAGTCGGGATCTCGTTCTCCAGATAGTGTGGTGCGTACACAGGATAGATATTGGATTAAGATTACGAACTAAGACGCTTACATTCAGGAGCGCAACAGGCCACCGAGAAATGACTCAGCTAAAGTAGAGGAAGGAGAAGATGCTCAGGGCGACAACGACTCGAAAGCGTAAGTAGCTTTCTTCGTTAGCTTTTATTTACATTGAGTAGTAAATAAGGCTTTGAATTCTGCGGTATTGCATCGAGTTTATTCAGACATGGCCCTACTACTCGTAATCGTTGGAAGGTTTATGTAAATCAGTGCGAGGAAAAGAAGAAAAGAGTGAGTGTTTTGGCATAGTTCCTATGTAATTCTACAAACTGAAAAATACTGCATTCTTCATGTTAAGGAGTAATAGTACTGTAGTTTTTTGTATCGCTTCCTACGTTGCATTCCATATCGTCTCCAACGTTGCATTCTTTTCTTGATCATACTTATAAAATAGACGCCACGCTCACGCTGACAATGCAAGGAAGCGAAGTCCAGCATTAGGGTGTGCATGAATCCGCGCTGTTTGAATCATTGTTCTTTGCCTAGCAACTTTCCAAACGAGAAAATTCTGAACTCATTTTCTGCAATAATTACTATGGTATCGAACCCACCGCTAGCAACATTTCACCCCCTAGGAGTGAAAAGAAAACGTTCAACCTATACATTCTTCTTTTATTTCCAAGATGAGTATCTTTCGAAAATCTCATTGAAGTTTGCCTTTTACCATGGACTGAAATGTCCTTATTTGGAAATATTGAAGTGACTGAGTTGATCCGGCGATGCGGAGGTGCAACTTAAAGGGCTTCAAAGGATGAGGCAGTGTTTCCTGTATGAAAGCTACAACCTATGATCTCTTTTTTGCAATTTTCGTGGATTTGGGTGTTGCAATGTGGTAGGGGTGTTGACGTATTCATTTATGCGAAAATTTGATTAAGATTGCAAGCAATTTCAGTTTATTCTTTTTTTCTGCGTATTTTACCTTGGGGTTCTCTGTAATCGAGTCATCAAATCTTTCTCCCGTATGCTAGATCAAGTGGCGATCCCCGATAGGGACGATTCTGATTCTATTTCTGCAATCCTGTATTTAAAAAGTGAATGTGAAAACGTTCATTTTCGTAATTACTCTTACTGTACGGATGTCTCCATTGCCCTTGGAGTGTTTGGTCAGTCTTGTCGATAACATTGGTCTCCATCTTAGCTTTCATCCCGTCTGGGCGAATGGAACGCTCCATAAGTGTATTCATATGTGTATAATTGCACAACATTTCTTGAATGTTCTCAACAGCAGCTATCTCGGACATCGTTCTGATCATGATGTACGGCATTTCAGGGCTCTCCGATGCCTGGAAGCCCGCGATGGAATGAAGCCGATACTGATTATGTACCTCCTGGTCTGAAGAAACAACGCAAAGCGCATCATGGAGGAACTGCTTCCCATCACAAGGGCGAGAGCTCGAAGAAACAAGCTGTTCGTTTCCGGGTAGATTTGCTGGGGCTATGTGCTGTGATGTAGAACTGTACAAATGGATGTCATTAAGGGCTATTCTAAATTCATCACTTTATAACTTCTTCGTTTTAGTCTACGGTTCGTGTCTCCGACGATGCCCGAGAAGGTATTGAAAAAATGCACGCGCTCATTTCTACTCCTCGTCCTGTGGACACGAATGTTGGCGAGGGCCTTGTACGCGTCGATTTACCACACAATACGCAGTCAAGTGAAAAACTGTACAGTGAAGGAGAAGAGCTCAATGATGGTAGATCTGTTGTGCGCATCATTGACAAAGAAACTGAGGATGTTCTATCAGCGAAAATACCAATTGACGCATTGTGCTGTAAGTTTTTCGTTGTTGCTAAAAATTTCAGGCTTTTTCGTCTAATTACTTTTGAGTTTTCAGTGAGCTACAGAAATCATGTCATGGCATTTTTGGAATATATGAAAACTCCTAGTTTCCGGCTAGACATCGAAAGGGATATTGCGAATGAGAGAGTTAGTTTACTCTTTTGCTGCTTCGATTTTGCCATGTTTTTCGACTAATCGTCGAGTTCCTTTGTGTTCAAGCAGTGCGAATACCCTCCATTTGTCTCAACCTCGTTCTTTTGTGAACTCTGCCTCCGAGCTTTGTTTTGCTGTATTTTCTAGTATTCAGGCGCGCAACGCTGAACTACTAGAGAAGGTGCGTCAAGCAAGCGCCGCAGTAGCAGCTCAGAGGTCACAAGGAGTCTGTGCTTTATATGAGCGCTTGAATGACCTTGGAATGAGTGATGTTGAAACTCCGACTGAATTATTGCAAGGGTAAGTTGTATATTTGTCCTTCTGTCTTCTAAAAGGAGAGAACTCGCCATTGAATACAAGCGTGCAAAAAACGATTATTCGAGTTTTTAGTTCG